ATTTTCTATTATTTTGTATGCTATATTGCACAGGTTATTTGACTAGTAAGTGTCTTGACTGTACCTTGTCACTATTCCACCGAGGTTAGTCTTGATACTTATTGGGTACCGTCTATGGTGTACTCATATTATACTTCTGCATATTTTTGTGCAGAGCCAGGTATTGGAGATATCCGATTCGGGCAGAGTTAGTGTGTTGATCACAGGGATTCAAGATAGAACTGCTTGGTCGTCGCAGTCCCTTGGAGTCTTCCCATTTTATTGTATTGTTAACTATTATTCGAACAGTATTGTATATTTGATCCTTGAGATCATTTCATGCATTCAGTTAGAGTTCGTGGTTCAGTATTACCAGTCTTGGGAGGTTGTTATAATTATTTCCGTTGTTGGTTTCGATTATCAAAAAAAAGGGCTTGAATTGTTATTAAAAATTGGCTTACTTAGTCTTAGAGACTAAGTGTCATCACGACGCCTGTAGTGGGATTTTGGACCGTGACAATATGGATAGCTGATATGTGGGTCAACTAATACAAGATGAATAATATTGAGAAAACTACCCTCTATATCCCCTCAAAATTTTAATAGCCCATATTTTTTCCTACTTATACGAAATGGCCCTTCGACCCAAATATATTACATCTAATAGCCCGAAATGTCTATTTTGTATATCTTTTATATAGTAACAGTCTATTTTTGTATATTTTTTGTATAGTGACAGTCTATTTTGTATATATGTTGTATAGTGACAGTCTATGTAGTATATATTTTGTATAGTGACGGTCTATTTAGTATATATTTTGTATAGTAACAGTCTATTTTGTATATTTTTTGTATAGTGACAGTCTATTTTGTATATATGTTGTATAGTGACAGTCTATGTAGTATATATTTTGTATAGTGACGGTCTATTTAGTATATATTTTGTATAGTAACAGTCTATTTTGTATATTTTTTGTATAGTGACAGTCTATTTTGTATATTTTTTGTATAGTAACAGTCTATTTTGTATATATATTGTATATATGTCCAAAGACTAATTCTGAAAGAACGTGAAAATTTTCCGGAAAAAAAAAGTGAATTTGTTTTAATCACCAAACAGGCCCTTAGAGAGAAACAAAAAAAAGAAAATCAAAACTGAAGATAAATGAAAAAGGAGAGATCAGTGTAAACGTTGGGATCCACCAAACTACCAAATAAATAGTACCATATTTTCAGACAAACAGTCAGCAGCACACAGTAAAACAAAATGGAGCGAATCTAGAGATGTAAAATCTGAGTAAAATCAAACAGTCAGCAGCACACAGTAAAACAAAATGGAGCGAATCTAGAGATGTAAAATCTGAGTAAAATAACAAAGAGGAAAAAGAAAAAGAAGCCCCTTATAATTACTAACTTTTCTTTTCCAGTTTCTTCAAACTCTCTGCATCAAGATTCAAAGGACCACATCTCCCTTAACATGGAACCAAAACCAGCAACTGAGCCCAAGAAATCATCTGTTTGGGTTCTTCCTTACAAGACTCAAATCCTCTTTTTTCTTTTGGGTAAAGTGGGATTGGAGAATGATCTTCGACTAATAATGAAGAATCACAGTATAACTCCAGCAAAATTTCAATGTTAACTAAAGGGGACAACAACATGGTCTTTTTCCTTTGTTGATCCACGTAGTGTTGGGTCTAATAGCAGCGGCTTCAAATGGTCCGACCCGTGACCAGTTGCTCATTTTCCTCAAATCCAAATCTACCGATGAACTCAACTCTCTTTCTTCTCAGCTTGTTGACGTTGTGGCTAGCCATTAGAATTACTTTTAGGCTATAAAATGTATATTGCAATTTTGGACTATCGGATAATATATGTTTGGACCGATGAGCTATAAATGAATTTTGCTCAATAATATTTGATATCCACGTTACCAGAAAAGTGTTTCTTACACGAGAAAGGAAAAAAAAATTCTAACCGGACAATTTCTTTCCTCTATGTTTTGTCTTTTTTAAGTGCATCTTTTTCGGTTTGAAAAGTTTAACTTATTTGAAATATAATGCGTAATTCAATTGATGGAATAATTCAATACGAAGGAGAAAAATGAAAAATGAACCCCCCTCCACATTCAACTACAATACTAAAAAAGCTTCTTTTTTTTCTCCCTTGATCCATTAAAAAAAAAAAGTTTAAGACAGGGGAAGAATTTAATTTCGGAATACATCTTTCTCTTATTGAAAGTTATTTAAGTTTAGCAATCTCATTTTATCTTTAATGACATGTCTTTTGAATCCCACTTAATGGTAATTTATTTTATAATTAGAGAGAAAATGAAAAGAGTAGAATATAAAACACAAAAATACACGGATAAGCATCTTTTAAAAACTATTTAAGAAAATGATATCATTTTCTTGTTTATTCCATAAATAGCATATTTTTTTACAATATTAGCATATTACAAAAATTATGCACAAAATTAATGAGTAACAGAATGCACAAATCATAGGATCCATATTTATCTTTTCACACTCTCTTTCCTTTTATTTTCTATTCTAAATTTCAGCAGGTTCGCAAGAGAAAAAAGAAACAAGGAAACCATGGCTGCATTTCATTTCAGTAACAGACCTCGCACAAAACAAAAAGATAGAGATAGATCGAGACTAGAGAGAGAAGAAAACTAAAAGAAAAAGAAGTCTTGGTTCTCAAAAGTTCGAACAAATAGAAGGATGCATGCGAGCACCAAAACGACCCCAATCATTTTTCAATTCCTTTGAAGATTTTGTTCAAGAATTTTGCTTCGATTGTATAAATTTTACTATGTATATTTGATGTGGTTGAATTATAATCTTATGTATTATTACTGTTTACCAAAATGTAATTTTTGAAAATATCTTCTGTTTTTTAATTGTGTACCATTGTATATATGTGTTTTGTAACAAACAAAATCATTTGTACTCGTATTAAAGAATTGTTGTCCGATAATTTAATATACTCCAAAAATAAGTTGTATATTTTTTTAATATGCTCATATAACAATATTATTCATCATGTATTTACTAAATATACGTCAAAGCAAATTATGAAATTTAGTATATGTCGAATATATATCGTATATATATTCATCTAGTCAATCAATGTATGATTAAAAACTTATGTTCAAATTATTGTATAATATGGATATACCACTTATAATGATGTAGTTAATAGTAATATATTATATATGTATAAATATACATAGCATATAATAGTAATATGTAAATAATAGAGTCTGTGTGTATATATAGATATACTTGCTTTAAACCACGAATATTTATTATTAAAATTAATTATTTATTAGGTTATGAAACAACAATAATATGATAATTGAAGTATAAATAGATGATTGTAGTCTGTGTTTGCATTGTAGAAGAAAGACATATCAAAGGAATGAATGGGATGTCAATTTTGATAATGCATTATAGATTCTCGGTAAAATGATTCTTGATTTTTATATAATATGTCTTGCCACATTATACTTAGCCGTTATGGGAGATGATATGATATTATGGGCGATAATTTAGGAATTGAATTGGTGTAGCTTTAAATGTTTCGATCAGAAATGTAGATAATTAGCTGCCGTGTTTGTTAATTACTTATTGTTGCTAGGATTTTGTAAAATTTTCTTAGATATTGTTTAGTTATGTTTTTTCCCCGATATAAAATTACCTCCACTGAGTTAATAGATAATTTTGAAACATTATGTATATCAGACATTAAAGTTTAAAAGTTTTCTTTAATTTCTTAATTAGAGATGAAGTATGAAATATTATCGGATAGTCTAATACAATACTAATAAACAAGATTCAAATTAACCTATAGTGAAGCTGGTGAATCACAAAACGGCCTCAAATGGAATATTAATGTGAATCTCATTTCAAGAAAATGGGGCTTATAGCTATTTCTCTTGGGAGTGAAATAAGGCGTTATGCGGAAGCTAATAAAGTAAATTTTGAATGATGACAAATTAGACAACAAAAAAAATATACTAAAAGATATGCAATATTTAATATGGTTAGGTCAATTGACCCACATATGACAAAACTAATATAAAAAAAAAAAAATTATCGGGAGAATAATATCCCCCATAAACAAAATTTTTAATAATTATATTATGGATACTATTGTATTGTGTATGAAAGAGGGATCCTCAATTGTCGTTTCTCACTTCAAAGATGTAAATAAAAATTTTGATAGATGAATTATTAGAACAATCGTAAATTTGAAATTAAATAATTAATACCTTTTTGACCTTTTTAAGATGACATATATTATATACCAAATTTAAAACTTAAAAAGATATTTAAAATGGACATAAGCCCAAAAAAATAAAATGGCCAGAGGGAGTACAAAGTGAAAATGACATTAGTAGCTATTTTAAACATGTTGTTCATATTTTACAGTGCATTTAAAGATTAGCTAACTCGTTTAAATTTTAGGACATGACATCCCTAAGTTTAAACTTCAAGGCTTCACGATATCTTGTCCTAAAGTTCAAAAATTATATCAAAAAATTTGAATTTTATGTTTTGAATTTTAAATTAACAGTTCAGAAATTTAGGATTTTTAGTCCTGAATTTTAAATAGCAACTCAAAATTCAGGATACTTAGTCCTAAAATTTAAATAAATTTGATTAATCTTTAAATATATTATAAACTATTGGTATATTTTAAATAACGGGCAATTGGTATACTTCGCTCAAGTACAAAGGGAAGTGTAATAAAGTCCCGGCAAGTCCACGACCAACGGACCGATAACTGTCTAATCACGCCCGCATTTTCATCTCACGTGAGCTTTTGGGCCGCTAACTAAGTAGGCGTTTGGCCATAAGTTTTGGGGAAAAAAATTCAAATATGCATTTTTATAGAATTAACCTAATTTTTGGAAGATTTAAAACCAAAACTTCAAATGCTTAAGACCTCTTTTTGATCAAATCATGACCATTTGAAACTTTCTAGCTGAAGAAAAAGAAAAAAATTTTAACATATCAAAACTCACCCCAAAATTATGTCTAACACATTTTTAATTTCAAATCAAACTTTATCCAAATCAATCTTTTCAAAAAATATTTGGGAATCCATTTCCAAACGGTCCTAAATGAGCCCGCTTTCTACTTCTTTTGTTTTTGGCGCCTTTTGACAGCTTCTTCAGCAAGCTTCTCCTTCTGGAAAGTCTAAACCCTTTCTCTGTTTCTCTTAGAGTGAAAAAATTCCCAGGCTACCTGTAATTCTGCTTGTTCTTCTTCATTGTGATTTGTGACATGATCCGAAGAGAAATATGAGACATTCATTGGTTCAGAAACCAGGGGTATGTCATCTTATCCACCATCAATTTATTCCTATTTTCCCGCATCAGAATTTCAGTTCACTTTTTATGTGTTTTGGTATTGGCGAAAAAATGTTTTACTTTGGGAAAATCATTTTTAGGAGTCTGGTTTAGTGTAAAATTTGGTGAATAATCGTACAAGACCTAGAGTGTATTTGTATTTATTCTCTAATCAAATATTATCAAAGAGTATTTGGTTGGTGAGTGGAAAATATTTTCCAGAAAAATTATAGAGATTAATAATATTATTAGCAAATTGGAGAGTGCTTTGATGAAATTGTTGAAAACAAAAATATGTAAGTGCTTGTTAAAAAGTTAAGATAATTGTAAGAAAACTATTCGCCCATAAGTGAGGAAAGTCATGTTTCGAAAATATTTTACTTGGAAAATGGCTTCCGTCCTACATAACTTTCTCATTGAAAACATTATATTGAAAAATGGCTTTCGCAGTACCAACTGCACCTATAAAATAAGATATGGAGATAGTTGACACATTTTTGAATACTACAGGTTGCAATGATATCTAAATATCTATTGAAGCAAGTAATATGGAATTAAAGTATGGATATTCGTTAAAAAAATGATTTCTACTCAGTACTTATAGGTGAAAGGAGTCATTTTTTCCTTTGGTAGCAAATGATTTTCCTTAGAGAAAAGATTTTCCACATTTTGATGTAACCACACAGAGGAAATTGTTTTTCTCAATCTGAAAAAAGCATCTTCTGCGATACCAAACACACGACCTCATTCATCGGATTATATTCGGTTGACTTAACAATTGTTATTTCGAGCTCCCTATTTGTAGTTGCCATGTTGCTCTGGTGTTTTTTTTCCCTAGAGAATAGATGACGAAAGAAGGAAGGAAAGGCTTGAGGCGTGATACGATTGCAATTGCCTGTCTATGAGGTTAGCGGATAACGCTCCTTTGGAATACAACGAGCCTATTATCAGTTGAACTTGAAGTCTTTTATAAATATTTCACTCCATTATTACAAACTATATAGTAACATTTTTCGTATGGGATATGTAGTCAAGAATATCCGATCATCAGTAATAACCATCTTAACAAGGACTTTCCAATTGTAGAGAATTAATTGGAGCTTCTTTAACTTATTATCTCTTCATTTCTTTAGAATGTCCATGGATTTTAGGCCTATTATGTGCTTTAATAATAATAGGCCTATCAGGTATCCAAATACTAAATATTCCTAATGCAACTCTGGCAGCGTCCTACTTTTCTTATGCTTCATACCAGTGGCTTTCAGATGTTCAATAAGTTTGTATACATCAATGTGAAAGACAATTGAGCACATTTCTACAAATTTAATGAAAGTTGTATCCTTTTCAGGTCAGAAACTTCAGCACTAGGTTCTCTTTGCCATCCTTTATAAAGCGCGTTAACAAGTTGACCGGTAGTCAGAAGGATGCTATAAGTAGGACTGGATTTGGCAGTTTGCTCCTCATTCCAGATCAGATGCTTTCTAAAAACCTATTAGTTGAACTGATGGAAAGATGGGATTATGAGAAGCGTGCTTTTGTACTTTCTCCGGGTGAAATAACCATTTCTCTCTTGGATGTTGCATTGATCTTGGGATTACGAGTCACAGGAAATCCAGTAGTTCTACTAGCAGATACACCTTTCTTGGATCTAGAAAGAGGATATGGTGTTGCCCTGTGGAATAGAAAAATCACTGTTGCATCATTAGAACAAAGACTTGATTCTCTTGCTGAGACCAACAATGATGATTTTGTGAGGACATTCTTATTATTCATGTTTGGAACTTTTCTTTTCCCAAGTACGAGTGGTAAAGTTGATTCCCGGTACCTTTATCTTCTCGAAAACCTTGATAAAGTGAGTAAATTTGCATGGGGAGCAGCTGTTCTTGCAGATGTATTTCACTGGTTGTATAGGAGAAAGAAGGAAAAAGTGCAATATGTTGGAGGTTGTCTTATTTTTCTTCAAGTAAGTTTAACAATCTCTAATATTTACTTTAGTAAACTCAACTAATTTGTGTGTTACCTATGGAACAGCTCTGTTTGACTGTTTCATTTGATGAATATTTCACAAGAAGTATTTATGACAAATATACATTGTATCCACTTTATTAACTCCAAACTGAAAACTCAAGTCCTCACTGTAATTTGAATAGGTATGGTGTCTTGAACACATTGACATTGCTCGTCCAAGTTTAATGGATTACTGCTCTAAGTTCCCACGTGTCTGCAACTGGGGAAATACTAAATCTCATCAGAGACACTGGTTCACTAGCAAATTCAAAGAACTAGAGGCTAATCAGGTAATAAGGTTAACAGCAGTTGCGTTCCACTTTGTCTGATCCAGCAGTTGCGTTCCACTTTGTCTGATCCAGATTCAATTTCCATCTTTTTAGGGTCGTGAGAAATTGTGCTCTTGAAGAACAACATAACTTTCCTTGGCTATTTTGGCTCAGATATAAAAGCAAAAACAATCATTCTATTGGCTATTTTAGTTCAGATATAAATTGAAGAGGACTCTGGTGTACAATAAGAGTTAGAGTTAGTACTAACCTATTTCACAGACAGTAGTAAATGGAAGGAAAGTTAGGAATATGAAGGAGATGTTTTCTGATATTTCTTCTTGAATACATTGTTTTACTTTCTTTCCCTTTCCTTCTGTTGTTGTCTCCCTTATCTTCCATTCATAGCTTCTGAAATCCAAGTTTGTGGTCTCATCAATGCCAAACAGCAATTTTGGAAACATTACGAGTTTTATTATGCTTTGGAAAATTAACTTCTAGCGACTCACTCAATCTCCAGATAATTTGGAGCCTTGAACGGACTTCTGATGAGTCCAATACTGACATAATCAAAGAGTTGATAGAGGCAGAACAGAGAAAAACATGGCCTGACATGAACCTACAATCTTCACTAGCTACTTGCTCTCGTACTGTAAGTCCTTCCTCTTTTGACATATGTTTTTGTACTTCAAACTCTTTTATCCAAATAATTTATGATAGAGATCCATTATTTTCCATATTAATTGGAAAAAAGATTGTAGATTAACTTATTTCAGTTAACAGGACCATACTGTGAAAAATGGATATCAACCAATGGTTCATTTGGTTGTTGACCTGGAAACTGAATCAGAGAGTGAAAGTAGCAGAGTGGCATATGGAATTCAAAGTCTTTCTTCTGGTCCATCCGATAAATTTAGTTTGCATGAAACTGTATCAAGATCTTCTGCATGCCACTATGGGGGGAAAGAAAAAGAACGTACAGAGCTTTCACAGTCTTCAGGAGCAGATATAGCTATAGTAATCAGCAGTGATGTGAGCTGATATTCTTTTTGTTTCTTGTTTATATGTTTATTTTGCTAGAATATCACTTAATGCAGAGGATTTTGGTATCTGTTTATACAGGACGATTTGGAGGATGATCTGAAGAAGAAAAACCAGACTCTGGAAAAGCAAATACTTCAACTAAAGAACAAAAACGGTGATCTGATGAGAGAGAATGAAATTCTGAAATACCAACTCTCCTCAAGCCTAAAGTTTAAAGAGCAGAACGTTAAACTACAAGAAGAAAATGAAAGTTTGCAACAGGAGAATGTGAAAGTACAAAAAGAAAATGAAAGTTTGCGACAGGAGAATCAAGCACTGAGCTTATCAACCAATACTTTGGTAAGTCGATTAGGAAATCTTTTGTCTGATGGGATCAAGGAGGAGTGTTAGTAATATGAGATGTATTTTTTTAGTTGAAATGTGAATGAATGAAGGCAAAGTTTCAGCAGAATTTTATTCTTTGCAATTCTTAAAACTAACAGTGGTATCATGGAATGAACAAAAATCTTGTGGTATGCGAATTGGCTAGTCTATTAAGTGTTTCCGGAGGTGATTTTACGTAACTGCAGTTATTCTTGAATTGTTCTCTTATTATACTGAAGTGGCATTTCCTACATATTACTTAAGAGAATAAATAAAAATAATTGTGTCAAAATTTGAAGAAATTTACACATCTGAACTACCTAGGTATACACCCTTCTCCGAAGGGCAATCTACCATCAACCAGAGATGGTAAACATGCTCCCTCCTACCAACCAACCAAAAAACAAAACCGAACCATATACACCAAAACACCATCACTTCCAATTTATGCAGCAAGTTCAGAACCAGTATCAACTAATAATTTAACAATGAATACTTCATTCTCAAAACAATTCTCCTTTTTTCAACACCAAGTTTTCCACCTGTCACTAACCAGTGACCAGGAGGATCTTGAGGCCCCTTACTCATTTCGGTCATGTCAACAAACTTTGCCAACTTACTGCCTATAATATTCTCCCCTGTAGGAGAACTTGCATCGCTATTTTTATTCCCAAAATTGACCTGTTTATTCGACTTGTCATTTGGGGCGTGGTCCCACAGTGATCTTCGAATAGTGCATCCTGGTAGCCTTGAATATAGAAGCTTCATATACAACACATTTCTTGACCCAAAGTCCCACACCCCAAGCTGTGCTCCTGTCACTGTGTACACGCCAGACTGGTCATCACCTATAAAAGCTTCAGGACACTCAATTGGTGCAGTACTCACGTGGGAGAAGTTCTTCCATTTTACTGGCTCAAACCACCTACTATCTTGCTCTTCAGGGCCCTGCCACTTTGGAGCGCCAATTGCTACATGAGTGTCCCAACATGGCAGAAGGATTCTAGGAAGGGAAGTCAAATGTTGAATATAGACACATAATCTATTCGACTTGGAACCTTCAAAAGCTAGCCGCATGCCAGTCACAGGCTTACGCCCCACCGACACCTGTAGTACAACATTCAAACAGCAGCTCAGGACACTGATACTTTATTAAATGGGAAAAAGTAGGCTTGGATGGATCAAAATAACTGTCATATGAAGATACCATTTAGGTGTGCACTAGCAAAATCGGTCTAAATGTGAGGGAAACATTAGCAGTTAAAAATGGATGACTTCCATTAAGTCCCTGATCCTTGAATTCAAAAATATTCTAAGCTTTTATCGGATAGCCATCAAACCTAACGGATCCTCAGGTTGTAAAACTGGAACTAATTTGATTTATGATTGATAGCTTATTTGGAGGCAAGTTTGAGTCTGACAAACTTTTAGGAAGAAACGTATCCTTTCCTCAATCAGTATAATAAACCAGCATTGACAAAAAACACTATTTTTGAATTCGGAAATCAGCATACTTGTTCCTGGCTAACATAGAGCTTTTGTCCCATCATGCTGAACTGCAGATGTGGGCAAACAGGTTCCTTTCGCTGTTGGCCTAGAAGTCTGGACTGTACAGGGGCCCATACCCTTGGGACCTGAAACTCCAGAAAATATCTCAGCTCTTCGATTTGAGGCTTGTCTGCAAGCATTCATACAACTAGAGTCATTTGTCACTATCATGAATCATAGAAATGAGAGAGAACATAGATACAGAATATAGGATTAACTTTTTTTGTTAAACGAGATATCTTACATTCAAGATAGAGACTTATAGCACGCGCCAAATGATCTTTCCCTTTGATCCCTTCAAGCAGAAGAGTGATAGGGAAGAATGACATCTCAATGACATCTGGAGATGATCTGACAGTTTTTGCCCATTGGGTGTGGCTTTGTTCCAGATCATCCCCTCCCCTTCTTCTGAAAATGACTGTGACATCCTGCATCAGATACGTTGAACAAAACCAATGTTTTAGGAATAACCAGCAAATGATGATTTTGCAAAACAGTCAACTGACAAAAATTACAATTATGACAAGAAATCATATAGAAGTACATAGTACTAATCCCTTTGTCCGATTTAATTTGATAAAATTTACTGGGAGCACAGATTAAGAACTAATTTGACTTTATTATTTTTTTGTGACAGTAAGATGAAGAAAAACTAAAATTGTTTCGGGCAAGTAGGTTTGACTGAAAAAACACTTGTAAATGACTTTGAACTGTTAAAACTTTGGAAGTTGTATGGAACATTATTGTTTCAGAACTCTCGAAGCATCTTGGGAGTTGGTCCCAAAACGGGAAGACCATCACATAAATGGGAATGGAGGCAATATCTAATAGTCTTTGTGGGTACTATAACATGACAAAAAATAAAAACATGACAAATCAATTATTAAGTTAAGGCTTAATACATAGTTTACCCCCTGAGCTTGTAGCCAAATCCCTTTTACATACCCCTACTTCACGGGCAACCTTTTTTACACCAAACATTTCACAAAGTGTGTCTAATACACACCACTTTGGGAAACGTTCGGTGTGTAAANCATAACTTTTGCTCCTATTCGAAAGCAATAAAAATCAGAAGGAAAGAAAAGGCATGTCACAAACTATGTATTAAGCCTTAAGAGAAAGAAGAATCTTCCTTCTTGATATTCAGATGAGCATTACTTCTATGACGTTTCTCTCGCGAATCACCCCTTTGTAGCGGAAAAGATCACACATAACTTTTGCTCCTATTCGAAAGCAATAAAAATCAGAAGGAAAGAAAAGGCATGTCACAAACTATGTATTAAGCCTTAAGAGAAAGAAGAATCTTCCTTCTTGATATTCAGATGAGCATTACTTCTATGACGTTTCTCTCGCGAATCACCCCTTTGTAGCGGAAAAGATCACACATAACTTTTGCTCCTATTCGAAAGCAATAAAAATCAGAAGGAAAGAAAAGGCATGTCACAAACCTCTTTTCCATTTCCAGCAATATATGGAGCATTAGTGGGTTGGGGATATATTCCTTGGCTATTGAATATCGATGGATCGCTAGACTGCAAAATTAAATTGAGGAAGGGATGGGAAATTTGTGGATAACGAAGGCGTCAGAAGACAGTTTATTTGAAAGGAAACGGTCTAGAATAACCATTTTTTAAATAAGTAAAAACAACAAACCATCAAAAATGGTACTTGAAGTTTGAAAACAAAGGAAATAATGGAACTAGCCTTATCCTTGTATTTCAATAGACCTGAACTTGTAAGGCTTTCTGTGCTGGAGAACCTCTGATTTCCAATATCATGAACATAACTTTTTATTTCCATTGTGGACAGAGGTGATGAAAGGTGCTGTTTAACGTAAATTACATCTTTACCACCAATAGTTACGGATGTAATTATGTGAGTCCCAAAAGTTTCAATGAAGCTGTAACAGACAGAGGTAGTCCCTTTTTAGCGAATGATAGAGGTTCTACCAAAAATTTTTTGCATGTCAACTATATAAAAAAAAATCACTTGTCGAAAGAAAAGCAATGAGAGATTCTAACCTTGCTAGTGCGGGTGGGTCCCATGATGCTGGGACAGCTCTTCTAACACTTTCCTGTAATACTAGCGGTGAGTTCATGAGTTGAAGCCTAGCAAGTGGTATGAAATATCCATCCATACAAAGTGTCTTTGTAGTGATAGCATCTAAATGCTTTGCACCAGTGAAACTGAATGCTACATTGAAGCTACCAAGAGGAGAATGGCTTGAAATATCAGCCTTTCTGTTAAAAAATTCCACCATCTGCAGACAAAAGCACTAGAATAAGTTATTAGAGAAATGATAAAACTATTTTTTAAATAAAATTAGGAAAAGCAAAAGGTTAACCAAAAGTACAGAAACTTGCACCAGCATTAGAACACACAGACCAACAAAGACCCTTTACAAAAAAAACAGATGAACAAAGACTTGGAAGATATCACTGTGAAGTGTGAACTAAATACTAATTATACATTTGAAAACTACCAAGTAAAATAATGCAAATGTACAAAAAGGCGTCCAAACACTATAATCCAACAAATATTTGCAAGATTTGTTGCATTAAAATTTAATGGTTGTTTCAAAAGAAAAAAAATGGATGGTGATGTTTGGCAGGGTTCAGAAGGGAGAACCATTTTTAAAAACAGGAGCTACATTTGGAAACCAGTTGATGGAGAAGACTTGGCAAGTACATGCATATGGTGAAAATAGAAGAAAAAGAGAGAACTTATTGTGCTGGTCAACACTCTACAAGATGGGCACATTTGTCTGCAACTTCTTTAATGAAGTAATAATATTTTTGTTATGGAAAAAACCTAGTATACAATTTGTTTACGGAAAGTTGAAAACCTACACAAAAATATGTTTCTCTACGAAAGACGTCCAATCATCTATACTAACAAGAAGGGCCTTACAAACGAGGAGATTGGCTAATCCAGCTGACAAGAGAAAAAGAAGGTCAACAACACATCTTTATTTCGATTGAAACCGACCTTATCCCCCCACTACCAAACCTGAAATGATGACTAGCATAACGGGAGAATGGAATTTGGTCCCTGCAATGATAGAACCTCATGAACCAAGCATACTACTTGAGTTTCTTTTCTTCTCTTTTGCACCAAAACTTAACAGAAAAGAAAAACGTTCCCTCGACAAGAAAATTTTGGTCTCTGCCCCTTCAAAAACTTTCCTATCCCTCTTCCTCCAAGGCACCCACAAAAGAGCCAAAGGAGCTATATCTTACGTTTCCTTCTCTCTCTATAGAAGTCATGTTAAACATCACATCCTTATCTGTAGTCAACATTGACTGTTGTATTACAAATAGATTCAGTACCGCCCACCACAACTAGCTTGCAACTCGGCAACGCACTAACTAATGATCCATGCTTGTACATGAAGCAAGACCTATGCATCCTTTTCCTTAGAATTTCAGTTGTTAGGGCCGCCCCTTTTGCTACCAGCCAAAGCCCACATGAACAGATATACCTTCCTAAATGATTTGGGAATCCAAATTGATAGGTGAGGAAACCCAGCATTTCTCTTTTTTATACTCCTAACTTAAGCTTTTACTAACGGATTTGCATTCCATCTCTTCACTCATCTTGTTTCTCATCCCCATCTCAACTTTTCGTTTTGCTTTTCTATTATTTTCTCATGTGATCTAATTTTTTTATATTTTTATATAAATTTTGGATATATTATATAAATTCCTTCATACATTCAAGCCAAGCACAATTTTATAACACAAGGGTTATTCTTATCACAAAAATTTCGTGTCAACTCTAATCTTACCCTCCAGCAAATATAGATCTTTAAACTCTGTACTACGCTACGCATATTACAATTCACCTCCATCCCTTCATATCTCAATCCCCGATATGCAGTCTCTTCATGCTAAAAATGGTTTAGACTTTAAGAGGGAATGGTCTGGTCTAGCTTAGAGTAAAGACGGCATACTCAGAGGTTAAAAGTTCAAACAACAAAACTGAAGAAAGAGCCACAATAGGCACAACAATCGTCAAAAGCCCGTCAACTGTTCTCGGGTCCTTTCACAGACAGCCCCCCTCCGCCCAATAACCCCCATCATATTCCCCTTGCTCATATAAACTGTAAAACTTGTAGGTATTCCTTTCCTTTGATACTTGTGCTTTGGTACCCAATCCTCCCAAATCCCAGCACCAGAGTACTAACAATATGTTGAGGATTGCGTGGCAATCCACACAATTCAGCATCTTCCTGCAATTGAATCACCACCTGAATCTTTATTTGGTATTTTTTCCTAAATGCAAACAGAGATCAACTTTAACCATGCTCATCCTATGCGGCAACAAGCACAAGCCGACCGCAGTACAAGGTTTCTCGGGCTATTGCTTCAAAACAAAAAGTTTTAGGTTTGTAGCTAGAGTCATTGTAACTCTTACCATCTTGATCCTTCTTTTCTTCTTCCTCACGCTTATAGATACCCAATTAATTACTCCATTTATCCCAAATTATGTTGCACGATTTCCTTTTTAGTTTGTCCAAAAAAATGATACTATTCTACATTTAAAAACAATACTATAACTTTAAAATTCGCGTTTCACCCTTAATGAGATTATTTATGTTTCGAAAGTCTTTTCTTTCTTAAATAACGTATCCAATCAAACAATGTCACATAAAATGGAAGGAAAAGAAACTAGTAGAAAGCATCACTAGATTGACATAACAAAACAGTAAAACCAACAATTCTCTAACTTAATAAATTCAAACAGAGAGCACCTAAAAACAGCCATTTGGTGAGCAGACGTACCTCATTATAATTACAAACACTAGAACCATCTCGACCACCAGGCTCCTGAAAATTCTTAATATCCCTTGAAATATTAGGCAGCACTACGTTATCATATAAACAAAGATCCCTTGTATGCTGCTGCTCTTCATCAATCTCTACAACCCTAGACCCACCCACCCCCTTACAATATAGCAATCTTGTATCATAATTCACATCAAATCCCCTTCCTAATGATTGCACTGCATTTATAGCTGTATGAATTGCTGCTG